AGAAGGTGTGCCATTTGCTCAGGCAAAATGAACTATCAGGAAGCAGGCAGCAAAACACAGGAGGACTTCAGAAGGAGGTCCATCTATGTGAAGCCACTTCTAGCTGAATTGGAAACAAAGCTAGGGGAGCATTTGAACCCCTGAAATGGGGTGCACTTCTCTTAGGGTTCCAGCCTTTTAATCCGATGAGAATAAGCTAATTAATAATTTAAACATTACTGTGGCACACAACAAAGATGTGTTGCTCAGATTCCCCTTTAATTTGCCACCTACTGCAAGAGAAGCATCAATGATGATAGCTTCAGCCTTCCAGCCCTTGTCATGTGCTTTTCTCCATGAGCCTGGAGTAAAGCATCTCACTTCCAGAGATCCCTTGGCTGGTGCTGGCTGTCCTGCCCATCCTGTTTCCTTCCCATTCCTTCTCTTCTCTCAGCTCTTTCCTGTAACTCCATTACATCCTTTTTTTTTTTTTTTTAAGATTTTGTCTTGCAGAGATTACTGTTCATTTGTTACCAAAGACAGTGACCTGGATACTGATGTGATTATAGGTAGCTCTTGAGTTTAGTCTGGCAGCAGCTTAGGTGTGGAGTCCCTCATTTCTAGTTCAGATACTGTGGTGCCGGTGCCAGGGTGGTGCTGCTCTCCAGCTGGCTGTGCTTACTTATTTCTGTGGGCTCTTGCTCCCATGTACTGTACTCCACAGCCACAGCAGTGGTGGGGTGGGAAGAGGGGTATTGAAAATTATATCCTTTTTGTAGGACAAGGCTCATGTGAGTTTTTATTGTCATCCTATAGAGCAGGACTTCCTAAACTTTTTCTACTCATGACCCTTTTGTCAGAAAACTTTTTACCCACTCCAAGTATATAGTTATGAAATATATATCCAAAACAAACATTTATTGTTATTATTTATTTACTTACTTATATGTGTATTAGGGTATTTTGTCTCCATGTGTGTAGGTGCACCACATGTGTCTGGTACCTATGGAAGCCAGAAGAAGATATCAGATCCCTGTCCCTTTGGGATTAAAGTTACAGACATTGTGAGCCACCTGGGAATTGAACCCTGGTCCTCTGGAAGAGCAAACAATGTTCTTAACTGATAGGCCATCTCTCCAGCTCTAACACTGTTAATAAATCACAAAGAAGCTTAAAGTAATACTTTGGTGTACATATAACTTTACCATTTATTAAAGACAAAATCAAATTTGTGTACTAATGAGAAAGATGTGCTCATTTATTTTTACCTTAAAAATTAGATCTTTCCTGAGTATTTGAAGTAAGATATAGACTGTCTTCAGAACTTTTCAAAGTTGATCGGTGGTTTTATTTTGTGACTGTCAATGCTGAGAATGTCACTGCACAAATGCATAGTAGAAAGTGGCAGAAAACAAGGAAAAAGAAAAAAAAAGGTCATCTCAAAAGCTGCTAGATGCATTCTGTCCAAATCTGGTGTCAAAATTCATTTTTTGAATTAATTTTTGGTTGTTGCATGTTCAGAAACTTGTACTGTTGCCAACTCTTTTGTGATTCCTATACTGTTAGGTGATCCTATTTGGAGTTGTAGCCCACAGTTGAAGAAGCTGGCTTATAGAGAACTGATGGTTTAGGAATGGGATGTGGCTCAGTGGTAGCACATTTGAATAGCAGCTGTGAGGTTCTCATTTGGGTCCTAGACACCACAGCACATACATAAGCAAAGAAACTGATGAGGATCAGTGGTAAGAACTGACCTTCATGTCTTCTGATTGCCTTTTTAAAACCAAAAATGTTTTGAAGTTGTGCATGGTGGCCTACACCTTTGATCGGCACTCAGGAGGCAGCAACAGGTAGATCTCTGTGAGTTCAAGGTCAGCCTGATCTACATAATGAGTTCTGAGACAACCAGGGCTATACAGAGAGATGCTGTCTCAAAAAGGAAAACAAAACAAAACATTTATGTGTCTGTGTGTGTCTGTGTATGATATGTATGTGTGTGTGTATATGTTCATTTGTGCATACTTATGTGTGTGACTACAGGTTCCAGTGTGCTCTGTGAGGTCAGAGGACTGTTTTTTTATTTATTTATTTTATTTATTTATTTATTTATTTATTTATTTATTTATTTATTTATTTTTTTGTGGTTCTTGCTTTCCACCTAGTTGGAGGCAGGCTCTATTGTTCACCTCTGCTTATAGCAAACTTATTTCCAGAGATTTTTCTGTCTCTGCCTCTTGTATCCTTGTAGGACTGCTGGGATTATAGACTCAAGCATCTATAGGATGCAAAAATAGGAATTTTCATCCCACAATGATAATGTAATATACTCTTAATTCCAGGAGATATTTTTGGCTATTTGCATATTTTACATTTTAAAGGAAGGTGGTTGCTGGAACAGTGGAGTGGCTTAGTGGGCAGAGGTCCTTACTGCCACTTGATCCATGTTATCCACAGTGGAAAGAGAAAACCAACTCTCACATGTTGTCCTCTAACTACCCCCCAATAGAAATATCATGAATATTTTAAGTAGTTATATTAAAAATAAAAGGAATCCAAGTATAGTTTACCAGAATGTGCTTTTGTGTGTGTGTGTGTATGTGTGTGTGTGTGTGAATCTCATGGACCTTTTGGATTTTTTTTTCTTTGCAAACCTAATAAAAATCTTTAAAAATCATTTGAGAATTTCATACATGAATATAATGCATTTTGATCAAATCCACTCCCTTTCAAACCCATCTCCAATTCCTTCCTTCTCCCTTCCCATACACTTTCCCCTCCCAACTTCATGTTTTTAAACTCGTGAATCATTTAGTGATTTTTGTATGTGTAGGGGCATAGGACCATCTATTGGAGCATAGGGCACATCCCTGAAGAAGTTGACTCTCCCAGCAGCCAGCTTTTGCTGGTGAGGCCAACTTTTATTAGCCCAGTCCTCTTGTGCTTCAGAAATTTGTTCGTTACCCATTAATGGGTGCTTTTATAAGTACAACTTAAGATCTATATTTTATGAGATTATATATATATTTATACATTTATTTATTTGTAAGTTGGGGGGAGGTGAGAAACATGGGCCTTTCTAAAATATATGTTTCATTTTTTGCTTTTGTTTCTTTTTATCTTTTTTATTTTGTAGAAAATACTGCAGTTTCTACCTGAACGAATTTTCTTTCGATGGCATTACCAGAGTATAGGTAAGATGAAAGCCAATAATGTGTTAGTGATACAGATTTCTACCAAGTGAGGTTTCACAATGCTTTATGTAGCTAATATTCCCAAGATAGCTTTTAGAAAGAAATAAAGGCTTTGTAATTTAAATCAAGTCCAACTTGAACTTCGTAGAAAAGTATCCTTCTCACCATAACTGGTCAGAGTAGAGAATAAGTGACTATGGACCCTAAATAGTCATCTCTGTCATGGCTTCTCCACCAAAGGCTTAGGGAATGTCTTAGGAGGAGGCAGGGAAGGACTTGGTTGAGGAGGTTGAGGAGGGCTGTTGTTCTCAGGAACTCATAGTAGCTGCACTTGCTTGCACAAGACTAACACAAGATCAAGCCTGTTAACATTCCGGAATGGATGGAAGAAGGGTTAAAAAAAAAGCAGAGGACATAAAGTTGGGAGGGGGCTATAACGGGAGGGGGGCCAGCAGGAGTCATAGTAGGGAGTGGGGAATGGGTAAGATCAAAAGGCATTCAATTCAATTTTCAACGAATACATTTTAAAGAATTAAATTTCTCTCTTACTTTAAATGTGCCCATTGAGTTGTAGTTCATGGGCTTCCCGGGTCGTTTTAAAGATGCACATTTTTAGGTCCCAGACTGACCTTCTAAATATGGTGGTCTCTTAACAAGGGACACAAAAAGATCCTGTGCACATCAAGTAGAGAAGCACTGATCTAAAGTATTTTCTTAAATAACTGTACGTTATTGTTCTTCAAGTCTGCATTGTTGATTCAGAATCCCCCTATTTGGATACTGTAAGATGTGCCAACCGGAGGGGAACTTGAAACAAAGCAAGTGTCAGTGCCATCCCTTCTCTCAGCACTTTACATCTGACAGCACATTTAAGATGCCCAGCCTAACTGGAACATTCTAGGGCATCCATTGTGAGTTCTGTCTGTCTTTTTTAAAGAGTTCCTGCTTCAGCCCTTTTACCTATAAGAGTTTGCCAGTTGATACATGTTTTTTCTTCTGTATCAGGTGGCTACATTGGAGGAGAGTGTGAACATTGGAATAGACTCTTTATTTGAATATTCACACTTTCCAATATTAATTGAGAGAGAGAGAGACAAACCTTTGGGACAGAAAAGAACATGCCACCATTCTTGCTTTGGAGTGGTCTCTTTCCCCTTGGGTAGATAAATGACAAAAGTAATTACAGTGCAATTGTCACTGCGAGGGGAATATAGTGAGAAGGGAGAAAGAAAGGTTGAAGGAGAGTTGAGGGGTCTTAAAGAGAAGTCACTGCCACCTGAGCCTTGAAAGGTAAACAGGGCTTCTTGGTTGGGAGAGCAGCATGTGCAAAGTCAAAGAGCTTGAAAAAAAGAATTCCAAAATTCAGAGTTCTAAATTTAATTTAGGATTGTTCCTATAAAAACAGGTAATAAACTCTTATAAAAACCGAATTCAAGTTTTGTGTTACAAATTTAAATTTAAAAAAGGTAAAGTATGTATGTTGTATATACCTATGAAACACAATGACTGTATCATTATCTGAGAGAACATGTTAATCTTTAAATGTTTCAAATAAGCAAAGAAAGTTTTCCTTTAAATCTGAGCAAGTTTGCCCTAGCATTTCTGCTTAATTGGAACTTTGCGATTATGTATTTAAAGTAAGGTAAACATTTTAAAAATGCAGAGTGTCAGCTAAAGGTGCCCTGGGGATGTGTGAGGTGCCGTGCTGTGGGAATGAGAAGTAAGTGTGCAACATCCTTGGATGTTCAGTAGAGTCACTTCTAATTTGGACTGCAGCATCTGTCCGAAACCCACACTTGTTTTCTTCAGATAGCACTTCAGACTGTCTCACGATTAGGGGACTCGCCTCAGTGTGAATAAACATCCTAGAACTCTGAAGATTAATTTGCACTGTGTTGGAAACTTAACAAATCCTATGTGCAGTATATAGTATTCTTTAATTTTGTCTAATATGAAAATGAGTTAAAATTGCTGACATGATTTGCTCTTTACCCAGTTTGGTAACATCTAATCAAGAATGACCAGAGGCTTCTTACTTCCTGAGCTGGGATTACAAACTCCTAATCTTCTGAGCCATTAAAGTCCCTGTGGCCTTATTTATATGGGACATGTAAAGCTGTCTATATAGAGTAATCAGATTGATGAAGTATGATTGTTTGCATATAAAGTCATTCTTATGATTGGTGCTTATGTACCAGTGCTTGAGGCAAATAGAGTTTTTAAAGATATTTTTGCTGTATTAATCAGATCAAGTAGATACTGGCATGTGTAGAGGTCTGTATCTCTTACCTTGGTCTTTAGGCTAGGTATACTTTGGAATCAGAGTTGTTTTGAATTGTAAAGATTTATTTTATTTTTAGTTGCATGTGTGTATGTGCGCACGCATGTATGCACATGTTCATGTCGTGTACGAATGAGTGCCAGAAGGAGGAGTCCGGTCTCCTGAAGCTGGAGTTATAGTGGTTGTGAACAGGCCAGTGTTTAGAAGAGCAGTAAGTACTCTTAACTGCCAAACCCGTTTTCTAGCCCCTTATTTTGAAGTTTAGATTGGCCATGTATGTATTGATGTAGGCTACAAACTGAGAGCATTCATGGGAGTGAATGTCTGTGTCACACCTCTAGGGGCTAGGCAGCAGCTGAACAAAGTGAAGTATTAGTTTTGGAGTGAATGTTTACTCACTGTGGAGTAAGGAAGTCCCAAGTGGCCTGATGTGGCCCACAATGTCCAGATGGAGACTATTAACTCTTGCTCTACAGAAGGGTTCCTTTCACAGCCTTTTGTTCTTAGGATTGTTGTTAAGAGGCTGTTAATTTGTCACTATATACACTGACTGTGTATCTTAAGCCACATCTTCCTCTCTAGTTTACTTGAGTTTGTTAAACAGTGACTTGTCACTTGAGGTCTTGGCTGAGTTAACACTAAAAACTCAAACTGTAATGAAACCCAGGTGTCGGGAGAGTGGTGTGCTGTGACTAGCACAGCCTGCCTCCCAGCTGACCCTGGGTTCTCCACAGTCAGTCTGGCATCCTTGTCAATGGAAGACTGCTCTACATTACAGATATTGGACTAGAACCTGGTGTTGTAACCCAGTGCAGTTTACTGTCTCTTGGTAGAATTGACAACTCATGACACAGAAAGCCTAAAAATGAAAGCAGCCTCTCCCCCAGCTCTCCAGTCTACCTGAGCTCTCCAATCTACCTGAGTAGCCACGTCCTATCAGGAGACAGGCAGTGTGAAACATCAGTTGCCACCATGCTGTGTCTGGTGCTTGCTACTTTTTTCATCCGTCTGTAGCAACCAGAGACATTCTGTTTCTCTTAAACCAGCTTTAATGGAAGTAATAGTTTGCAGTTTGTCCTTGTTTTGGATTTCAGTTTTTAATTTATTTTTTTATTGGAGAGTCAGCAAGATGTTCAGCTGGTAAAGGTATTTGTCACCAAGCCAGATGATCTATCTGAGTTCAACCCCTGGAACCCATGGCGACTTGTCCTCTAAGCTATATACATACATACATACATACACACACACACACACACACACAAATGCAATTTAAGGCTAGCTTTTTACTGTAAATCAGTGAAAATAATAAGCATATTTCAACTCTGTATTTTACAGTGTGAAGTAAACATAGATCCATTATTCCAGGTTTATAGAGGCCCTGCTAAGTGATTCCAACCCTGGGACTGAACTCTTTGGAAAGTTTTATTGCTGATAGCGAATGCAAAACTGTTGAAGCTTTTCCTGAAGTTAGCTTTAAGCTTGTAAATTACAGTGGCTAAAGCAGCTGCTTGACGGTAATTGAGAGCTGGCAGAGTGGTGTCTCAGAAATGGTGATGAGAGCAAAACAGGATGTTTAATGTGAGAGCAGGCTGTACTGCTCCCGGTGTGCCCATGCAATACACAAGACTATGGTTCTGTGAGTATCTGCTTTGAAAGAGGTTCCCGTCCACGAGCATCCACACAGTAGGTTTCCTACCTGGTTTGCAGTGCAGTTGTGCATGTTTGTTTAATGACTGAAAAGCTGTACTTAGAGATGCTTTATAGCAAAGGTGCTAAAAATAAGCAGTCTTTTGGCTTAGAGGGATAGGACTCAGGGAAAAATACTCAATACCATGCAGTATTTAGTTATGTATTTTATATATGTCATTAATTACTAAGTCTAATTTATTTAATCAGTTTTTCCTCTATGGTATAAAAGCCAAGTACATAAGTAAACTGAAATATAATTTTTAACTTTTCAGCACTGTTTTCGGGTTTACACTCAGTGTGCCCACAATGTGGGACATATGAACATAACAAGCCTTTCCTCAGAGTTCTTACCTAACTGCTCCCACCTCAAGGAGCTTGAGTTGGAAGACCTTTCCTGATTCCCTGGCAGCTGTCCATTCCATTTCCCACTTGGGGGCTGGGCCTCCTGGACACTTAACACTAGGACTATCTCAAGTGCCTCGGGCAGGATGAGCTAACCATAGGGCCAAGTTCATGTCTCAGCTTATGAAGGAGTGGCTGGAACTAATGTTCCTGTGAGCTTAGAGCCAGTTCTCTTGGCTGAGCTGCTAGCAGCCCTGCAGCTTGGCCTTTCTTTCACCTCCTTGGTCATTGAAACCTTGCTTTTCTTGGAGATTCACTCCTTCTGTGTCCCTCAGGAATATGTAGATGAGGTCATGGCCTTCTTTATTTAGTGCTAATTCCAGAAGTGGTTTGGCACCCCTCTCTTTGGACTGTGCCAGTTTGGTGCCGCATTGCCTCATCTCCTTTTTTTGTCACTTTGTTCTCTTCTGATCCTTCTTGTTACCCATAAACTCATTGTTTCTCTTCTCCATCCTTAAGGGGCTTCCTGCCCTTCGTTATCAGATGGATGTCTGTCTGATCACAAGCCTCCATCCTTCTAGTCTCTTACCTAGTTACAGCTAGGCCACCTGCTCTGATTTCTATTTTATTGTTCTAGAAAACAGCTTTATTGGGGAAGGGGATGGAATAAACATTATATCTCTATCTCTATATCTCTATCTCTATATGAATGCAGCATCACCCTCAAAACTTCCTCATTCTCCTTAGTAAGCCCTTTGTTCCTTTCTTCCTACCCCAGCCCCAACCACTAATATATTTTCACAAGATTCACTAGATATGACACTGAAAGTAAAATCTGTAAAAGAGAAAAATTTTAGGTTGGGTTTCTTCAAATCAAAAGAAACTAGTCTGCCTTTGCATTTTCTAGAGTCTTGTTTAGATAGACTCATATAGCATTGTTCTTTTTTGTTTGTTTGGTGTCTATCTTGGGTAGGGTTACTATTGTTGTCATGAAACACTGTGACCAAAAGCAACTTGGGGGGAAAAGGGTTCATTTGACTTACATATCCTGATTCAGTAGACTTATACAGTCTACTGAGGAAAACCAAGCCAGGAACTCAAATTGGGCAGGAACCTGGAGGCAGGAGCTGATGCTTTCTGGTTTGGTCCTCATGGCTTGCTCAGCCCGCTTTCTTATAGAACTCAGAACACATTAGCTCAGGGTATTTATTAACATCCACAATGGTCTGTCCCTTCCACACCAGTCACCAACTAAAAATCCTCTATAGGCTTGTCTATGGCCTGAGGTTATGGAGGCATTTTCTCAGTTTAGGTTCCTTTCCTTCAGATGACAATAACTTGTATCAAGTTGACATAAAACTAGCCAGCACAGCATCTTTTATGCGATAATTATTTTGAAATTTATTATATAGTATGTACTAATAGTTTATTCCTTTTTATTTCTGAGTAGAACTTTATTCCATTTTATGACTTTGCTACCATCTGCTGATCTATTATCTTGCTGATAGTATTCAGTTGATTCTCATATTTGGCTATTATGTATAAACATATTGTTAGACATTGTGTACAGGTCTTTGTGTGGACATAAGCTTTTCTATCTCTTGTAGAGTATGCTTAATTACTAAATTCTCTATAGAGTGGATATATCATTTTATGTTCAAAGCAATCTCACAGTCCAGTTAACAGCAATTATTAGAGTCACTGTTTAGTTTGTTGGTGATTGTCTTCTCTCTCTTCCCCCTCCTCTCTCTTTCTTGTTTTCCAAAACAGGTTTTCTTTGTGTATTGCCTTAGCTATCCTAGGACTCACCCAGACTGGCCTCAAACTCATAGAGATCCACTTGCCTTTGCCTCCTGAGTGTTGGGACTAAAGGCGTACACTAACATTCTCCAGCTGGTTGTACTATCTCGTTGACTCATGGTCTTGAACTTTTCATGTGATTTCTGTGTATCTTCAGTAACATGTATATCTCAAGGTTAACCATTTAAAAGTTACATTGTTTTTTTTATTATTATTATTTTGGAGAGTTCAGTAATTTTGGTAGAAGTCTTATCAGATATATGCCTTGGAAATATTTTCTCTAATTTATTATGTTTTGAAGAATAATGTTTTTAATTTGAAGACATTCAATCTACCAATTTTTGTGGATTATACTTTTTAGTGTCATCTAGGAATCTTTAAGATACTTTATTTAATATTCAGAGAATACATATAATGTATTTGGATCACATCTACTGCCCATTCCATTCCTTCATTTCTCTCTTACCTGTCCCACCACTTTACCCTCTAAACTACATGTGCTCTCTCTCTCTTTAAGAAAAAATATTGAATTCTTTTACTGCTTCCTGTAAGTGCATCAGTGTAGACCACACACTGGAGGATTTGTAGGCTCCTATAAGTGCATATGTGTAGACCACACACTGGAGGATTTGTAGGCCCCTGTAAGTGCATCGGTGTAGACCACACACTGGAGGATTTGTCGGCTCTCAGGGCCCTCAGCTCTGAAGAAAACTGATTTTCTCTCCCCTCAACAGCCATCAATTGCCACTAGCTCCTCAGATGGTCACAGGATAGGAAATTGGTTACTAATACAAAGTCCTAGAGATCTACTGTGTTTGCTTACATGTCCCCCCCCCATCTCACTGTGTAGACAGGTTGGTCTGGAATTAATTGAAATCTGCTTGCTTCTGTCCACTTAGTGTGCCATCACACCAGGCCTATTTTCTTCTAGTAATTTTATAGTTATATTTTAAGACAATTTTAGATGAGTGGACTACTGTCCTATGTACTTACAGTGTGTCTAGAAATGCCAGAAAGTTCTGTTTCTTTCTCCAGTGGTCACTTGCTGTGGTCTTTACAAATCAGTAGCCCAAGGGTCTTTTCTTTGTTTCCCTGACACAAAGTAGATCCTATGAAAGGACCTACTGATGATCTATAGTATTCACTTTACTGATTGAGACATAAGGCAGAGAACAACAGAACTCTGTGTTGTTTTGGGCCCTCTAGGATCTCTTGCTTCATGAGACTTTTGTCTTTCTGGACCTGGGTGACTCAATCAGTCTAATTTTTTTCTGTTTCATTCATTTAACCTAAAACTTTAATTTTTTTTAACACCGAATAAGATTCCAATATATATGTGTACAAAATTTTTATTATCCTTGTATCAATTGATGGACATTTAGGCTACTAATTCTTAGCTACTGTGAGTAGAGCAACAATGAGTGGATGAACAAGTGGCTCTGTAGTAGGAATATTAGTCATTTCAAGTCTTTAAAAAAGAATTTAAAATGGCTCATAATCAAAGTACTGCCGTCTTAAAAAATATCTTTTCTCCTGTGATGTTGTTTGCCATTGAAGGTCAGTCTTACATTTCGAAAATGGCATGCATTTTCCCCTTCTAAAGCTGATCTTTAAACATATATTTTGTGCTAAGAACACTTGCTGCTCTTGCAGAGGACCCAGGTTTGGTCCTAACACCCACACGTTGGGTGGCTTACAACTGGCCGTAACTCCAGGTCCAGGGATCCATCCTGTGCCTTTTTCTGGCTCTGAGGAGAATTGCATCCACAGTGTGCATGCATAGATGTACATGAATGCATACATGTATCACGTATATATACATAAATAAAATAGAATAAAATAAATATAGATATTAATATTCCCTTATATTTTTTAAATATTTATTTGTATACTCTATTCCTAATTGGTTATTTTAAACTTTCAGGCTCAACTTTAAAGAAGCTTTTACACACTGGAAATTCTATTAAGGTAATCCTTTTTATGAAAGTGTAATGGAATATTGCTCTAAATTTCTTTTAGATTTATTTACTTTGTTATATGTGTATGAGTGTTTTGGTTGCTTGTATGTATATGCATCACATGTATGTCTAGTGGCAGCAGGAATCAGAAGAGGGCGTTGGATCCTCTGGAACTTGACTTATGGATGGTTGTGATTAAAGGCCATGGGAATTCCTCCAGCATGCTTCATTAGCACCTGATAGCATATTTTTGTACTCGTTTACTGATGTGTCTTCTTTTATTGACTTTGTTTTAATCATTTAGGAATACAGAAAAGGAGCAATGTGTATTTTTGAATTCTAAAAATAGGGTAGAGATGGAAGTGAGTGTAGAGTGAAAAAGGGGTGTGTTTGTTCATTTATTGTTGGGTGTTGCTCACCATTCCGATGATGGTGATGGTGCAGGAAGCAGCTGAGTATAGACACACGGCCTTGTCACTCAGCTAGGTCTTCAGAGTCTCATTTAGCTCCAAAGAACATTATGTTAAGATGACTGAAGTTCTACTCTTTTCTCACATAGTGTAAATGTGGAAGGAGAGTGTCTCTGCCATTGTTCCATGGACAACTGAGCATTGGTGATGGGGAGATGTTGCCTTACAAAATGAAATACTGTTAATAGTCCAGTGGGAGCCAGACACTGCTTTATGTGCCTTTATGTGCATGTTAGCGTTTAGTCCTGCTGTTTCACAGATGGGGTGACAAAGACATAGAGAAGTCAAATGATTTTCCATGTATCACAGCCAGAAAGTAGTAGAGGATGAATTTGAAACCAGGTTCCCTTCTCCAGCACCCAGGCTTTTAATCTTTGTGCTGTATTGCATCCTTGCTTGTCACTAAGGGAAGAGCCTGTGTACTTTAGTGATAACTTTATTCCCCTCTTTCCCTCTCTTCCTTTCCCTTCTCTCTTTTTTCTCCTCCTCCTCCTCCCCCCTCCTTTTCTCTCTTTTTGCTGGCCTCTAAGTTGAGATTTTCCTTTTTCAGATTTCCAAGTGTCAGGATTGCAAGTGTTATACCACCACACCTGACACATTCTCTCTCTCTCCTTTTTTCTTAAGACTGATGGTACATTGCAAAACATTTCTACAAATCTTTGTTAAATGTTTGTTTTTTGTTGTTGCTTTTAATTCTGTTTTTAGATAAGATGTGAAGGAATCAGACTGTTTCTTTTGTGGCTTCAAGCACTTCAGACAAACTGTGCAGAAGAGCAGGTGCTGATTTTCGCTTGCCTAGTGCCTGGTTTTCCAGCGGTCTTGTCATCCAGGGGTCCCTGCACGCTGGAGACACTCATCAACCCTAGCCCTAGTGTAGTTGATGGTAAGCAGCATTAGCAGGTGTGACACGCTGAAATTACTCCTCTTATTTTAATTTTTATTTATGTGTATGTGTATATATATATATATGTGTGTGTCTGCAAGCGTGTGCTTCGTTCGTATGGGTATATGAGGAAGCCAGAAGAAGATGATCCCTGAGGGGTTGGAGTTAGATTGTGAGCCACCTGACTTGGGTGCTGGGAGCCAAACTTGGTCCTCTGGAAGATCAACAAACTCAGTGCCATTAACTTCTGAGACACCTCTCTAGTTCTTGAATTGCTTTTGAACTTATCCTGAGGCTTTCCTTGGTGTTGATGTTCTTGAATAGAAATGAAGCCCAAAGAGGAATTGTGGTTCACAGAGGATTCCCAAAGACATTATTATCAAAGTCATAAGTTCAACTCATAGTACCACAAAAAGCAATAAAAAACCTGGGTACAGAGAGTGTCATCGTAAACCTGTGATCCCAGCACTTGGGAGGTGGAGGAGGAGGCAGGCGCATCAAGATGTAAGGTCAGCCTTGATTACCTAATAAGTTTGAGGCCAGCCTGGGCTATATGAGAGACTCTATCTTAAAACCAGTTAATCAAACAACTAACCAACCATAGGGAAAAAAAAACCCTGAAGCCTGTTTTCTATTAAATTATAATGAGAAAATTTCTGTCTTGACCGAAACAGGAGTGGAATGCAGGGGAAGATGTACGTCACACGAGTGTTCTGTGCCACTGCTGAAGTTGAAACCTGCCTTCCCAAACCACTGTCTGTTGTTCTCACCACTATTGCTTTAAGAGGCCATTCGTCTTATTTTGCCAGCTGTGTTTGTCCATGTAGCATAACTCAAAGGACAGTAGTGGCCTCATTGGACTATTTGTGTTCTCTGAGAACTTACTGTGAAACACTTCACTGCATTGGATTTTAGGCTCACCAAGACAGATTTGAATGGGAAAGAATTGTCCAGAGAGAGAGAGAAGCCTCTGTGGACCTTTATACTGGGCCCTAAATCCTGTACATACTGGCTTGGGATTAAGTCTGAGACGTTTCAGTGGCTGCATAAATGTGTGTAATAAAGCCCATTTTAAAACCTTATTTAAAATTCAGCTATAGTGAATACGCTTTCATCATTTCCTACCTTTCAGCAAAAATATACCCAGAGGAAATCACCCCACTTCTACCGGCCATATCAGGGGAGAAGATCGCTGAGGACCAAACCTGCTTTTTTCTTCAAATACTGTTGAAATACATGGTTATTCAGGTCAGAGAAAAATCATAGCTGTTTCACTGATGGGCTTATTTTCATAGGATGGAGTTACTACTTCTCCTTTTTCTGTATGGCTGTATTACTTTCCCTGAGGCAATTTTGTGCAGTGATTCATTAAAAACAGGGCATGCATTGTTACTGGGCCAGTTCAGCCCAGTAACAATGGTGTGAGTACTTTTCTATGAATTATTTAAGGTAGTTAAGGTATTTAAGATATTTTTACATATATATGTATATTAGTGATTTCATATACAAATGCAGTATATTTACATCATTTTCATATCTCTTTCTGAATCTCCCTTTCCTCCATCATCCTTCCAACTTTCCTCCTTTCTTTCTTTCTTTCTTTCTTTTTTATTGAGTCAGAGTCTCACTGTGGTGTAGCTCTGGTTGGCCTGGAACTTATTATTGACCAGGTTGGCCTTGGTCTCATCTGCCTTTTGAGTATGCCACCTCACCCAGCTCTTCCTCTTTAAAATAACCCACTAAGTACAATTAGAGCTGCCCAGATGTGCATGAGTGCAGGGTCATGTACTGGGTCATGGCAGCCTACCATGGGCCACACTGCTGAAGAAAATTGCTTCTCCACCTAGCAGCTGTCACCTACCAGAAGCTCCTCCTCTGTCCATTTCAGAGCGTTGTTCAGAGCTGTGTCCATAGCTGCTGTGACAGGCCCTGCATGTCTAGGCAACAGCTATTCTGTTATAGTCCTTCCTGACCTCAGACACTTAGAATATTCTATCCCTTCTTCCTGACATTCCTGGGCTATGGGGAAGGGGTAACGCAGGTGTTCTTTTGGGGACCTGAGCATCTGCAGCTGCTATTCTCTGCACCATGAACAGTTTTGAGCCTGTATAGTAACCATCCGTCACCCCATGAAGAAACTTCTCTGATGAGGGCTGTGAGGTGTGCTCATCTGTAGGAAAGAGCAAGCGTATTTAGATGGCAGTTTGATAGTTTGTCCCTTTAGCAAAATTAGTAGGATCTGCCCTAGGGCCTTTGACACCTAGTCATAGGTTCTAGGCCAGATTTACAATACCTGCAATTCTTATCCTCTTGAGCTTTGATGGGATACTGTTTCTTTACATTATTACCAATATTGTCATTTATAAATTTACAATAGGAATTGTAGTCTAATATTTCATGTTTGTATATGTCAATTTAAACTGTAAATATCAAATATTCTTTCCCACATATTATCTAAAGGCTTCAAGCTTGGAGTGGAAGAATAAGGAGAATCAAGATACTAGTTTTAAATTTCTTTTTACGTTGTTTCGAAAGTATTATCTTCCTCATTTGTTTCCATCATTTACTAAGTTAACCAACATCTACAAGCCTGTACTTGGTAAGTACTGTTTGATTCCTGTGTGGGTGCCATCCACAGGGAAACTGTACAGTAGCTTCCATAGTAATCCCTGTGACTGTTCTAAAGCAAAATAGTCACTTTATGTGCATATTGAATGGTAATGCTGCTGTGAGAATTTACCTAGTCACTGATTCAATGATGTGAACTCACTAAGAGGTTGTGCCTCATAGAAATAAAGAGAGCATGGCTTCTGTAACAATAAAATGTGTTATGATAGTTTTGTATGTTTGCTACTTTTTAATGCCATGTTTTACATTTCTCAGTCTTCTCTTATATGTGGTGAGTTTTAGTGATGCCACATCCCGCTCAATGGCTAGATAGGCCAGCCCACGGCACACAGCTGCTGGAGGACTGCACATTATGCTAGGGCTTTTATCTACCAGGATTTTGACAGGTGCTTTTGGGGGAGATGTTTTGTGATGGGACAGTCTACAGATAGGAAGCCCCAAGAATGTTGAGAAACAAAAAAGAACATTTATCTTACCCCCCAAAGTTACCTTTTATAAGAAATTAGGATTCACAGGATGGAATCATCCCTTAAAGTGGGGGAAGTGGCTATAAATTTTCGCCTTATAAAGACAGAAATTAGTTCCATGGATAATTAAGAATAACTTTGGAGGAGAAGAGGTCACAAGGAACTGTACTCTGCGTGTAGGACGTGCCCAACTAACTCAACATACACACACACACACACACACACACACACACACACACACAAGCACGCACACTCACTCACTTACAAACAGAAATGGATACAGACTAGCTGAAGCCTGGTGTGTTTTAAAAACTGTAGAGGTTCTGGGACCTGTATTTTGTTATATCCATCTTTTTTCCAAAATTTGTTTCTGACTTTATGTTATATGTACTCATCATAGAGACACTATACATTGCTGATGTTTCTAGGTTGAAAGTTATATATTTAAACTGGTCATAGTGGCCCATAACTTCAGCCCTAAGGTTTGGACACTTGAGGCAGCAGAATTCTGAGTTAGAAGCCAGCGTTGGCTATATGTAGAGATTCTGTAATGAAAAAGAAATAACAACAAAAAGTTATTTATTGTCAATATTTTTTTGCCTCATTAAGGTATTCCAGAAATGTAAGAAGTAGTTAATATACTTAACAGCAATTTGTGTCTCAAATCCACCCATACAGTATACATATTCGATGAAACTTAAGGACTGACTCTCTCTTTTGAAAAGGTGGTACCTGAGACTTCAAAGATGAAACATGAGTTTCTGAGTTCATTTAGATGAAAAGTTTTAGCTATCTGAGTATGGCAATTACAGACTTTTACCACCATGTCCAGCTTTAGATATTTTTTGTTAAAGTTCATGTATGCTTTTACATTTGTTTCAGTCATAAAATAACATTAAATGAAGTATACTTGAAATGAAGATATATTCACTATTTTAGTCTCAAATAATTTTAAAAATTGTTAACAAGAACAGTTAGTGTGACTGTATAGTATTGCAGTGTGTAGGCCATAGTGGCCATCTCTTTTTATTTATATTGAAAGGCAAAATAAGAATCAAACCTGCTAGAATATTTTAAACATTTATAGGTTATTACTTTTAATTGCTATCCAGAGAACCAAATATATATAATATGTTTACTAATTGGAACAGTTCATAGGGATTATGTAATGTTGAGATTCACTAACTTAATTGTGTATTCTTTTTCTTTCTATCAGAAATTCCCCATTTGAGACCAAAGCCAGTATATGTTACAGTAACTCGAGATAATGAAACAATTTACAGTACAAAAATTCCATACATGGCAGCTCGTGTTGTTTTCATTAAATGGATTGTAACTTTCTTTTTGGAAAAAAAGTATCTAACTGCAACACAAAACACTAAAAATGGAGTTGATGTACTGCCTAAAATCATCCAGGTATGACAGCCATCATTTTAAAATCTCTTTCTCTTGCATAAGAAACACAGTAGCATATTAGCAAAGTAACTGGTTGTTAGAGCTATGGTTTTTATAGGTTTGATTTAGTGGCTCACTTGTCTGCAAGCCTGAGGTTTTAGAGGGAGCTTTGGTCAGAAGCACTTGCTATGCAATATTGGAATTGCTATAAGAAGGTAGTCTCAGGGGCAAGCAACATTCTGAGACTGTAGTTCTTGTGGGTACTTTCCTGCCTCCCTTCTTTCTCCTTCTTGTAAGTGTTGTGTTTTCTGAGCACAGGCACAGGGTCTTGCCTTTCTGTCACCAGTCACCAGTTGGAAGGCCCTATGTTTTGTAGATGTGGCCAATGGAGAGGGCTCATGCTGTCATGCAGTGTCTGGCATCTCAGGAAAGACTTGGGCCAGCAGCTCAGGCTCCTGGGGCAGTTGTTACTTTATGATTCTGTTCCTAAAGTGAAATTGACCTTTCTCTGAGGCCTTCAGAAAGGACTCCTCAGGTAGGAGGGCCTTCAGTGTATGTACTTGGAAGAGCACTACTGTTTTCAGAGATTAGAGATCAGTCGCATCACTGAGAGGTCATGGCTTCGTGTGGGTTGGTTATTGTTGTTTCTTGTCCCTAAGAACAGGGCCAGCAAGTGTAGTGCACTTATTGAAGGTTTGCTGATGTCAAGAAGGCTCCAGAAATAGGACATTGCTCCAAGCTGGAAAAATGTATACGCTGGAGGAGGCAGATCAGAAGTTGCTGTATTTCAAGGTCATTGATGTCTTGTTAGAAGGAGGAGCACCAAGCAGTTTATAGCCTGTGGATTCATTGTAGCGAGCTCACTGGAGACCTAGAGGGCAAACTTGTTTTCAAAAGAATCTCGGGGATTGAAGTACAGTAAGATAACAAAGGGCTTGCTGAGAGATAGTTCAAAACAAGCCAAAACCCCTCAACTTTATACTTTGAAAGAAGATGAAATGAAAACAGTAATGAATGTATTTGTCTCCTCAAAGTTTTTATTTCAAATTTGAACTGTGATATTCTTTACATTTAAAATGAGTGAGCTAGGTGTGGTGGTGGACACCTTTAATCCTAGTCCTCCGGAGGCAGGGCAGGTGAATCTCCTTGAGTTTGAGACCAGCCTGGTCTACAAAACATGTTCCAGGACAGTTGGAACATGTAGAGAGACCCTGTGTCAAAACAAACAAAACAACAAAAAAACTACTGTCCTTATCAAGGTGATCAAAATTGTTTTCAAACAATATACTAGTTCTATAAAAGACTTTAGAAATATACTTTAAAGTTCCATTTCACAATAGAATTCACATTTTTGCTACAAAGTATTTTTGCTATATATGTAGAGTTTTTTGGTTTCCGGTTTCCCAAGTGAAACCAAGTCCTTTTTTTGGTCTAGAACTAGTGGTTTTGACAGAGGGAAAAACCAGCTAATGATGTGTGCTCTAGACTTAGCTTTCCTAGCACTAGGTAAATCTGGGCCTAACAGACTTTCTTGTTCCATTGTTAGTTGGCTCTTTGTTACTGTGGCAAAGATACCTGAAATAGTCAACTGAAAACAATACTTTTGGAGGTTGTAGTCCATGGTTAGTTAGTCCTGTGTCTATAAGGGATTTAAAAAAAAATTGAGATACAAGGCAGCTGAGCATATTTGTTTTTATAGCTCTTTAGTTATATTAATAAAACATCACTTTTACTAATTTTGAGACAGTTCTCCAAATGATCCACAGGCCTATGGGATGAATAGGTAGAGCAGTGACGTAAACAAGCTGACAACTCTGAAGAATTTTGTACATTTGTCAGTTGACTCCTGCTACAGTATTCTCTGTTGTTCTTGAACTTTGCAGAGGCAGTGATAGGATGTGCTGATCATGTTGGCAGATCAGGATAGAGGAACCGAGTGGTATCACACTTAGGCATCACCAACAAAACAATTTAGACATGCCCTGCTCTTAAGAGTCACTTCATGGGTAGTGGGTGTCCATATTTAGACTGACCCTGAAAATACCTGTCTCTCAGTATGCAGGGTTCAGAGGACACCAGGGTGGCAGAGAGTTTGAGGTAAGGAATAAGTGGCACTGTGTGGTTTTCTGATCCATGGTAGTGCTGCCCTGGTACTGGTAGGTTGGTTGTTTCACTGATAAGTCTTCTGCGTGTACCAGAGGACTAAACATTGTCTCTGTATTGACTCTCAGGGTGGTCTCATGCCAACAACAACTTCAAATTCCAGCTTGATTCTGGTGCATGAGAGCTAGGTCTCCTTCTAGAGGCAGTTCTTCATGATTGTACAGCAAGTGCTTTACCCACTAAGCAGTCTTCTTAGGTCTGGAGCTTATGTATACATGACTTGATGCTACATAATTCTTCATGCTAGTTTAATTATTTCATTGCTATAATATAAACCACCTCAAAACTTAGTGTCTTAAAGCAGAATCCCTTTAACATTATGTTTTCTTTTTACTTTGTGGGATGGAATTTGGCTTGATATGTCTAATATATTTCATGGGCCCTTGAGTGGTGATCTTTAGCTGGTGGATGGTTGGTCTGTAGGATCTAAGGTGACTTCATCCACAAGCCTGCTAGTGTTAATTGGAGAGAGAGCTGGCTTATCTGGAACTAGTCTATGCTGCCTTACTAACAAGGTCATTGGATTTCTTATGTGGCCACTGGGGCCTCCAAGGACAATGTTTTAAGAGATGGAAAATGTTAACTGCCAGCCTTTTGAGCCTGGGCCGGGTGATTCTCTGCGCTTTTTTTTTTTTTAAATCAAATCATAATTTTTACTTATTCACACAGGGGTTATAAACACAAAAAGGCAGGACGTGGGGAAGGGGATGACATTGGAGCGTGGGTGTTCAGGGGGAGTACAGATATCTTTCAGAACAGAGTATCTGCTGGGTGAAGGTTCAAGGGGACAGGTCACTATGACTCTGTCTATGATTCACTTATCCTTATCTAAGTTGGTATTATCCACCAAGGCTACCTATTTACAAGGTCTATGACTACTCAGGCTGGTAAATTTCCACAAAAGCTGCCTGTTTACAATAGCTTATAGCCATCTGTTTCAATATTTTTCCACAAAGACCCAAGACTTGGTGTTAGTATATGTGTATGACATGCCTATTGCTGATTTTGGCCTATGGCTGATTTTAGGCCTTCAGTGTATAAGCAGGGCTGCCCCGACATCTCCTCCCTTCTCTAAGAATAGAAGAGCTGTGGAGATTCTAATCTTTTGAAGGCAGGGATAGAGGCCTGACCTCCAGTAATTGAAGGGGATTTTGTAATGGCTCCGGTCCCCATGTATTTGTCCAGTGAGGCATGAGGGCCATACCTGTCCCAATGTCTTTTTTCTGGAGAGGGGATACTTTTGACATCAACCCCTATGCAGTCAGGCTTGTCCCTCAGGGAACCCAAAGGGATATTTTTAACTTTTATTTATATTCCCTGGCAGTGCTTAGCCTCGCAGCCTAAGCAAGAATTCAGATTGCCAGTCAGAGGGGGTTCTGGGTGGCCCCTCTTTGCTTGGTCTAGGGGCGGAAGTCCCCTCTTTTAGGTTGGGTGGAGATGGGTTTCGGGATCACCCTGGATAGACTAACAACTTCATCTTGAGTCTCGTGGTCCTCCATAGCTAACTTATGATAATGTATCTGAATAGGTTTTGCTACCAAATTATTTATCTGTTCTTTCATAAAGTTAGTCAGTCTATTTAAGGCCCAGGGACTAAAAGAAATAAGCAAAAATAACCCAATTAATGGTCCCAAGATAAGCAGTCTCCCAAGTTTTCACACCTCTGTGATAACAGAGTAAGTGTGTAAGTACAGAGCCCTGGTGTGATGATGGCACACATTGCACTTACACATCAACTTATTCTGTGATTTCACAAATGCAAATTAAACATTTTAGCTGACAAGATTTCACAGTCCTCTTCCCTGAAATAACTTAGTAGCTTTCCTGTTAAAGTCACTGAGCTGAGAAAGGATTATCTGGTTAATTAGGAAATTGGTAAGTAGAGGTTCAGGTGCCCATGCTTGAGACAACGGCTGATGTTCACCGTCTATAGTGCAGCTGGTGGTAATCAGAGTTCTTGGACACAAGGCAAGACCCGGGTGGAGGGTGTGGATCAGTGGCAGAGCACATGCTCACATTTATGAGATTGTGGATTCCTTCTCTAGTCCCACAACATTCACAAAACCCAAAAGGTAACAAGCAAGACCAGACTCACATTTTGCTAGGTGCTTGTGAATGAGGATGTGGATTGCTGAGATCTGTGATGGCATTTTTCAGACTGTTGGTGGTGGTGCAATACAAGAGAAGGTGCCAGAGCTGGATGGTGCTGGATCCACAGAGCAGGACAAAAGCCATTCTAACAGCAGCACCTTGTCTGACCGAAGACTCAGCAACTCCAGTCTTTGTAGCATTGAAGAGGAGCACCGGACAGTGTATGAAATGGTGCAGAGGATCCTTCTGTCAACACGGGGTTATGTGAATTTTGTGAATGAAGTATTTCGACAGGTCAGTGTGTGTTATACAGTCATAAAGTTGACGTCATCTTTGTTCTTGTTAGCTTCCCGTTGTTCTAACACATGTGCAGGGGCATCATTGTAAATATAGGAGGTGTATTTTGTCTCAGTTCCAAGGGTCTTAGTCCTAGGTCACTTGGTCCTGTTGCTCTGGGTCTTTGGCAGGGCAGTATATTAAAGTAGGAACAGGGAGCAGGTGAGGCTTGTTCATTGATGGATGAGAAAAGGAGAGATCAAGAGATTGGAGTCCTATAGTCTTCTTTGAGGGCACACTCTGACATGACCCACTAGGTCATACTTCCTAAATTTATGCCACTTCCCAGTAGTGCCAAGCCAGGACTAAGTCACACATGGGCCCAAGAGAAGATTGGTGCATTCCAGATCAGAACTGTAGCATTCTGGCTTTACTTAGGACATGGTAAGCAATAGTATTGATGATTTGGCCTAAATTACCATAGTAAATTATGGCTCTTCCAGTCTTACTTTTAGTTTGTCACAAGTTTTCTGACCCACATTTTTCTTTTCATCTATGTAACAATGGAAAATTCAAAAATACTTTGATGCTCTCATAGCAAACTCAGCTCAGGGGTCAGTTGGTAGACCTAGTGAATCCAGTGTGCGAGAACTTCAGTGCTCACATCACCCAGAGGCACTTTCACAAAGCTGTACTTTCCCTGTAATGTTACATGACATGAATGTGTGTGTGTGTATGTTTGTGGTACAAGAGAAAAAGAGATGGATGAGAAAGGGCTTAAAGGAGAGAGAAGCTTTTTATCCAGGAGTCTGGAATAACATACCTCAGGTAAGAAAGGAAGAGCTGGGAAGAGCTGAAGCTGAAAACAGGAAAGAGCAAGGGAAAGAAAAGGAAGTGATCAGAAGCCCTGCTGCAGCGATGGCAGAGGTTCACAGCCTGCTTGGTGTTCCTTAGAAGGACACAGCAACATCTGGGATCAATTTTGACTGGCATCTTATGGCTAGCCGATTTTATTACATTAGAAACATGTAAAGGATAAATGTACTACTGAACAATGATTAGAAGCCAAGAAGTCCAGCATTCGGGAGGTGGCAGCAGGAGGATCAGGATTTTCATCCAAGCTTCAGCTACATGGCTAGCTTGAGATTACCCTGGGCTATATGGGACCTCGTCTCAGAAAACTAAGTAAGTAAATGTATCATTATCAGAAATTGATTAGGAATCATAATGTATAGGGTTGTTTAATTTTAGTTTTGTATTTAGCAAATCTTTTACCTTGGTTCCACAGCCTTAGAGTATTTACTATGTTGGATATTGTGTCACTGTGTGTGTGTGTGTGTGTGTGTGTGTGTGTGTGTGTGTGAGAGAGAGAGAGAGAGAGAGAGAGAGAGAGAGAGAGAGAGAGAGAGAGATTGAGTGGCTTCAAGAAGGTATTCCAAAACTCTTTCTTTTTTTGGGTTCTTTAAAAATATTGAACGTAGATTTATTGATTTATTTATTGATTTATTTAGGCTTGTACATGTGGCCAGAGATTCGATGAGTAGAATGATCTTAGGCCTCTCTTGCACTTAGGAATTTATAAGCCAAACCTTTCTCGCCATACAAATCAGAGCCAGGAAGATTTTATAAGGACTTTGGACTTTGTTTCTAAAGTTGAAGCTTTGGCATGAGTACATTTAACATTTTAAAAAACATAAGCGTTTTTGCAGTAAGCAAGAAACTGTAATATAAATACATACTAGAAGAGGAGAGAATAGAATTGGAGATGAAAAATAGTAACAATTGGGATGTTTATTGGAGCAGACATGAAAACCTCAGTATATAGTCTTAATAGCAGAATGGAGGCAGCAGAAGATGGAGTAAATCACGTAAAGAAATGATCTTGCACAGACCTCAGAGTAAGTAACAGAGGTAAAAACTGGGACAGGTTGAAGCGGAGGGTCTAATGAACAGGCCTGTGACAGCTGGCTTCTCTTCCAGCTCTCTTCTGTGTTTGTGTTTTCTGTCTAATGAGAGTATCCTGCTATAGCTATACATGTTCCTTTTTTCCTTTGAAAGTTGGAGCATTTGCAGTATTTTTGCACAAGCATCAGTTGCAGCATAGCTGCATGTGCTGGCTAGGTTCATTTCAGCTTGACACAAACTAGAGAAGGGACCCTTAGTTAACAAAATGCCTTATTAGGATTCAGCTGCAGGCAAGCCTGGGCATTTTCTTAATTAGTGATTGATGTGGGCGGTCCTGCCCATTATGGATGGGGCCATCCTTGCGTTCTATAAGAAAGTATGCTGAGGGAAACGTAAGGAGCAACCCAATAAGCTGAATTCCTTCATGGCCTCTGCATCAACTCCTGCCTCCATGTCCCTGCCCTGTTTGAATTCCTGTCCTGACTTCCTTAAGTAATGAACAGCAATGGGAATGCATGAGTCAATTAAACCCTTATTCTCTCTGACTTGCTTTTGGTCATGGTGCTTATCATGGCAATAGAAACACTGACTAAGACAATACAGAAAGTCATGTTTCATTGCTGCCTGGTAAGAGAGAAGGTGATGGGAAAGGAAGCGCTTTATTGGCAACAAGCTGAAAAGTTGGAAGATGAGGGCTCCTGTGTGTCTTAGAAAAAGAAGCCATCTTGTGAGGGGTTGCAGGTACAAGGCTCCATAGATACTGATTTTGGGCATGAGCATAGATGAGTAGGCCTTTGAATTTGGCAGGAATGATATTATTTCTGAATTTTGGTTAGTTTGCTTTTCTGACGCACAGACTGTTGTTATCCATAAGTCACCAGAGGTTCTGGGTTTGTTCTGAAAATTTAAAGAAAAGTTGCTGACTAAATAGCTTTATGTCCCATGCCATTTAAAGTCCAGGAATAGCTAACTCTGCAGTTCAAAAGTGTATAGCAGGCATGTTTCATCCTAGGGTAGCCAAAAGGCAGCTGTCCCTGGAGAATCAGAGACGATAGCTGAAAGAACAACTTTCCCTGAGCAAGACAGTGCAGTGAAGCTTTTCTCAGAGGAGAGAATTTAACCCATTTGGTTACTTCAGCCAAAGCTGTCCTCTGTAGCAAAGCTGGTAGGAGACCTGCAGTTGACTACTCAACTGTGTAATCACCAAACTTAGTGATTAGTCTAGCCAGGAAGCCAGACTAATTTAGTTAGATTTTCCTCTCTGTAGCATCAGTATACATTAGAGTTGCTGTTCCTTCCTGTGAATTGAATAGTTTATTGTTAAGAAGCTTTCATGTTTTTTAAATTTATTTTTTAAGTTAAAATTTAATGACACCATTTCCTTGTTGCCTTTTTCTCCCTCCAACCCATCTCCTGTCTGTCCCCTTTTCAACCCCCCTGCAGGCCCCCCTGTATCCCTCTTCCCTCTCCCATTTCCTTTCCAACTGACATCCACCTGGGAGAGGGTAATTCTCCCTCAGCATCTATTACTTGTAGTTCTTTATCTCGGTGTGGGACTCCATAAGATTACCTTCTTTCCAAATTACCACATTTGCTGATGTTTCTGTTGATAATGTCATTGTTCAGGCTTTGTTGAGACTGTAGAAGATACAATCTCAAAGCAGACTTCCTGGTCATCTGGCATTTATAAACCTTCTGTGGTGTTCCCTGAGCCTTAGGTGTAAGGGTTGTGTTAAAGCTGGATCTGCTGGGGCTAGGCCCCTCACAGTACACTGATCTAGTCATGTCCACTTGTGACTTTCTGTGATCTGATGTAGAGACAGCAGCTTCTAATTTTATAAATAGAATGTTTCTCAAAGTCTGTCTTGTGTAGTGTTAACATGTTGTCTTCTGGTGTCTGCATGACATATATTTTTCTATCTTTTTACTATCTGCATCTTACATATGTTTTGGATTTCCTCTTACAAATTCCATGTGATTTAAAAAAAACCTTTTTCTTAAATACAATATTATAACCTCTGTCTTTTAATTATAGCTTTATTCTACTTCCATGTAACATAGAATCTATAGAAAAACAAACAAACACTGTACTGAGGATTTTTTTTTTGGCTAGTTGTTTCTTTTTTCTTCAGTACTTACATATGTGGTAGGTATTGTACTCTCCTGCAATTGTTTAATAACTAGAGAGCATCGTGCCTCTCTGACATCTCAGCTTATAGAACTTTGTTATGTATTTGAAGTCCACATTATAAAATGAATGCATATATGTATACTATACTTTTCAGAACATGCACATACACACACACACACACATACACACACACACACACACACACTATTCATTTAGAATTCTACAAATGCTTTTTGTTTGGTCAAGTTTCTGACCTTCGATACTTTCCCTTTATGTCTGAAGGATAATTTTTAGTACTTCCCTTAGTTCATGACTGTTGGTAACAAATTTTCTCATCTGAAAATGTCTGTCTTTTGCTCTCACTTTTGAAGTATAGTCTTTGGGAGGCTATGTTCTATCTATGCTGTACTAGCCGTGTGCTCTCTGCATGCTGAATAACTTCAGCCTTTTGTTTCATGTCTTCTGTTTGATAGTCACTGTAAACCATGAAGTTTGTTCCTTTGGGGGAAAAATGTTCTTTTCTCTCCTTTGGCTGCTTTTAATGTTTTCAGATTGCCCTTGGTTTTAGCAGTTGCACTATAAAATTGTATCTCTTCTGCTTGCCTTTGTGACTGATGCCTGTGGATTTGTTCTCTGAGCTCAGCCGTCCTTACATACTGCTCCGTTCCAGTTTTGGATCTCTGTCCGGCTCCCCATCCCATGACCTTACCATCGCATGACCTTTCTTGCCTCTGTTTACTTTTCTCTCTTCTGTGTTCTAGAGATTTCCCCTGTATTTCCCTCCGTTTTAGCTTTAGCTTCTGCCCCACCTGTATGCACACAGCTTTTAGTTTGGGTTGTTTTGTTTTGAGATTTAATTTACTTCAGGTTCTGATATAGCTGGTATCTAGATTTTTCTGTTCCTTGGATCATGTGTGTTTTTTAAGTTATGATTTTATTCAAATTGACTTAGTATATTTCTAATAATATTTAGTAGTATGTTATATATCATATTGTTGTGGCTGTTTGTAGAGATATTTTTAAAATAACTTTATTTTTCCCTATACAAGAAGTGTTCCTTGCTCTTTGTGAAGAGGATAATATGCTATGCCTTTATTTCAGATTTAGATTACTCAGTTGTCTATGTTTTGTCAGAACTGATTTAATAGTCTCTATATTCTCTTTTTTGTAAAGTTTTTCTAAATAATATACAATAAGCAAATGTCAGACTTTAGAGATGGAGAATCTACAGTGTTTGTAGATTGAATGAGCCAATGAAGTACAGAAGAAATAGAATGGATTGAAGGAAGGATAGAGGAGTTAGTTGACAGATAAATATGTAATAAAGCAAATATAGTTACTATTGATAGTATAACTGTGAAAATTTCTTAATTTTATTTGTGTGATTTTTTTTCTTTTCTGTAATTTCTTTTCTTTTTAAATTTATCCTTTAATCTTTTTTTTTACAGTCCAGACTTCTGTTCCACCCTCTGAATGTTCCACATCCCATACCTCCTCCCCACTCCCCTTGTCTCCACAAAGATATCCCTACTCCCCACCCCCACCCCACCAGACCTCCCTACTCCCTGAGTCCTTAAGTCTCTTGAGTGTTAGGTGCATCTTCTCCCACTGAAACCAGATCTGGCAGTCCTCTGCTGTTTATGTGTTGGGGGCCTCATATCAGCTGGTGTATGCTGTCTGGTTGGTGGCCCAGTGTCTGAGAGATCTCGGGGGCCCAGGTTAGTTGAGACTGCTGGTCCTCCTATAGGGTTGCCCTCCTCCTCAGCTTCTTCCAGCTTCTTCCAGCTTTTCCCTAATTCAACCACAGGGGTCACCAGCTTCTGTCCATTGGTTGGGTGTAAATATCTGCATCTGACACTTTCAGCTGCTTCATAGGCCTTTTGGAGGGCAGTCATCAAAGGCCCCTGTCTGTAAGCACATCATAGCATCAGTAATAGTGTCAGGCCTTGGGGCCTCCCCTTAAGCTGGATCCCAATTTGGGTCTGTCACTGGACCTGCTTTTCCTCAGGCTCTTCTCCTTTTTTTGTCCCTGAAGTTCTTTCAGACAGGAACAATTCTGGGTCAGCGTTTTTTGACTGTGGGATGGCAACTCCATCCCTCCTCTTGATGCTGTCCTTCTACTGAAAGTGGACTCTATAAGTTCCCTTTCCTTACTGTAGGGCATTTCATCTAAGGTCCCTTATTCAAGTACATTCTAGAGACCCCTACCCCCTGCCACACACACCTGAGGCTGCCTGTTTCTATTCTTTCTGCTGGCCCTCAGGGCTTCAGTCCTGTTCCCCACCCCATAACCACTTGAGAGGGAGAAGAAAGCAATCACAGGATGAGGAGGTAGGGAGGGACCTGGGTGGGAAAGGGGATAGAGAAGGGAAGAGGGGGAACATGTTAATTTTTTAAAATCCTAGAAGAAAGAATAAAACAACATGTACTTTATCTAATCTCTTATATTTATTGAGTTACATGGCAGAATACTGATTCATTATTTTTTTTTTGGAATTTTTGATAATGCTGATTCCTATGTTCTGGAATTTGATGTGATCTGGCTGCCACCCTGGACATTTCTGTATCTTATGCACCAATTCTGAAGTGATAGCTGCCTGTCTTTAGGTTCTTTGTTGTGAAACTTAGGAGTGGTATTAAAACTAACTTTGTAACCTTGGGAATTATCTCTGGTTCCCTGTGGCTCAGTGTCTTATCTGAAAAATAGTCATTTGAGGGTAGAGTAGGTCGGGTCCTGCATACCTTTCATATAGAATTAGGTCCTAAATTTGAGATGCAACAGGCAAATGCATTTCCTCCTCAAAGTCTTTTTTTTTTAATATAGTCTTTCTTTCTTTTTTTTTTTTTTTTGTTGTTTTTTTTAAAGACAGGGTTTTTCTGTGTAGCCCTGGCTGTCCTGGA